ACGACCATACTCCCTCAATAAACTCGGATTTGGTACAATCGGAAGCCAATCTTGAACCTCATCAGGGTCTTTGTCATTACCTATTGGGGGAAACTCAAATTCATATACCTTAAAAACTTCAGATAGTAGGTATACGGGATCCACAAAATGGTTATAGTTTTGACGTGTGTGCGAGCAAGCTGCTATCACATGAGAGCATGGATACTTCAGAGCTTGAAAAAACTCGCAGTCGCACGTTCTGTCCCTTAGATTTACTCTTAACGACACAGCTTCAATCCCTTGAAGAGGTCGCGGCAACTCTGTGACACGAAGCATTTCATGCCTTCTAGAGAAGATTGTTACAGACATTCCATTTGATGTAGTAATTTTTTTCTGTAGATCTGCAACTAATCTAGGGTGATAGACATGACCGCCTTACATCCAGGTTTGAGCTTGTCCCCCGAGCTTCGCAAAAAGCGCCCCAAAACGAAAATATGTAGTTTTTACCAAAGCCGCTACAGGTAAGTGACGTGCACCCTTTAAGGTTGAATTGATTGCCTCAACCAAGTTAGTCGTCATGTGTCCATATCGATATCCACCATCATATACGTTCGTCCACATTTCTTTATCGATGATGCTGATGTAATCGTATCCTTCCTCGTTCTTCGCCCGCAAATCTTGAAACATTGATTCAAACGTTCGAGGAAGTAGTTCGTAACATGATCAAAAAATGTATAACTTACTAACTTGCTTTATTTGCAAAATTAAAATGATCAAAAAATGTATAACTTACTAACTTGCTTTCACTTACCCATGCGCACAATTAATTGTCTCTCATCATTCTTCTTGTACCTTCCATGATAGTTCGCAGCAATGTGTCAGAGACAATTCCTATGTTGGACAAAGGGTGGTTGCCATATTGGACCCAAAGACTCCATTGCTGCTTTGATCCCAACTCCGCGATCTGAAATTACACAGATGTTTTCCCTCGTGATAACATGTGCACGTAAATTTCGAAGGAAAAAAACCCTAGAATATGTATCTTCTCCTTCGAAAAGAGCAAAAGCAACTGGAAGAATGTTGCGATTGCCATCTTGGACAACTGCCAATAATAAAACTTGCTTGTATTTTCCATACAAGAAAGTCTCGTCGATCTGGACCACAGGCTTGCAGTATTTGGCAGCATTAACGCACTGTGGGTAACTCCAAAAAACCCGGTAGAATTTGTATCGATCGCGAAGAACTCGATCATTATGGTATGTATAGAAGGTTTCAAAGTCCACAATTGTCCCAGGATTCAACGTTCGCACCAGCCTAAACCAATCTGGAAGTTCGTTGAAAAATGCATCTCATTCGCCATGAAGTTTGACAATGGCATTTTGTTTTGTCAACCAAGCTTTTTTATAGGAGACATTGTACCCATACTACGATTGTATAGCTGAAATCAACACTGTAACAGCTATATGAAAGCTTGCTTTTACCATGGGCATGATGGCTTGGCATATCACTTTAGAGTCCAAGTTGGGATGATCTTGGTTGACCCCTCCAGCACAACATGTGTGAGGACCGTTGTATACTGTTAGTTCCCATATGTTGTTTTTCCTCTTCATTTTCGATACGCGAACCATCCAATTGCATCCGTTTTCACGTCGGGCATAGTAGCATACATATTTTTCGGTCGTCGATCGGTTAACTCTGGACTGAACAGAATTACGGATATTGTAATTTTTTATAGCCATCATCGCTTCTTCTTTGCTTGAAAACTCCATGCCTAAAGATAACTCACCATTATTTATTGATGAGTAATATCCATAGTCACCGAGATGAGGTATATCCGCAAATTCTGACCCGTACATTGCACCATAATCAGCTTCATACATGTGTGCAGGAGGGTCAGTTTGTGCCATATTTCCTGGCACTTCATCTACATCATCATCATCGGAGTTGAATTGCAGTGATTCTGGGTGAATGAATAGTCCAGTCTCAACACCATCCGCACCAGGCTCACGAAGCGGTTCTTCTGGTGGAGATGATGGTTCCTCCATGCGCTTCACATTTAGGTCGAATAACCTACTACTTGCATGTCTTCCCCTTGAACTAGAAGGCATATCGACATTGAGATCGAAAAAGCTCGCAGTCGAATGCCTCCCTTTTAGCTTAAAGTCATCGTGTCAAATGGAAACTGCATAGATGGTTGCGTCGATGACATCTCCATATGGTCAAAGAAATTTGCAGATGAATATCTTCTCCTTGAACTGAACGCGGTGTTTCTATACGGATTGTTCGTAGACCCACCTCGGTACATATCGTAAGGAGTTGCGGATGAATGTCTCCCCATTATGGCATTAAAATCATTACACATTATTGTAGTCGGGCTGTCAACTTGTTCAATCAGCCCATAGTGGGAGCTTAATGATTGACCCCGAACAGCACGCACTTGATCAAAATATGCATACATCTCAATAGCGACGTCTGAATAATTACTTTGAGCTTCAACCATCATTTGAACATCATCATTGTTCGAAAGTTCAAACGATGTATAAGTTAATGGCAACAATGATGTTGGAAATCTGTACTGCAACGACGACATTCTTTTACTACTTCCAACATGAATCTTCCTCGAAATCTTCGTTATCAGCTCCTCAAGAGTTATGTTTCTCTTGAATGATATTTTAACACACTCATTTGATACGAAAACAACGCCGGTTTCATCTTCTCGAATTTCACCATCATAATAAACAATAGCTGAAAGTCGCGCCATTCTTTGAGTTTGAAAGTACGGAAATATTATATCTGCAAAAAAATAACTAAAACAAACCTGATTAAATAAATTCTATATGAACGAAAATATAACACAATAATATTTTGAGAAAATAACATCAGTGACAAAAAATGCCTTATAATATACGATTTTAACCAACTTTTTTTGGATTTGCCAAAATGACCAACAAAATTGCAATGCGAAATAAAAATCGCAACTCGATCTCCAGAATCGCAAATAAGTTCCCAGAATCGCAACGCGATTATGAAGAATCGCAATGCGATAGTACAAATTCGCATTGCGATTTTCCAGAATCGCAACGCGAATATGAAAATCGCAACGCGAAAATATAAATCGCAACGCGATTTTAACTATCGCAACGAGTATCCGTAAAATCGTAACACGTATCCGTAAATCGCAACGACAATACGTAAAATCACAACGCGTATCCGTAAATCGCAACGAGAATACGTAAATCGCAACGCGTATCTGTAAATCGCAACGAGAATACGTAAATCGTAATGCGTATCCGTAAATCGCAACGACAATACGTAAAATCGCAACGCGATCTCTGGTATCGCAAATCAGTTTCCAGATTCGCAACGCGATTCTGACTATCGCATTGTGATTTCCCAAATTCGCGTTACGATTTTCCTAATTCGCAACGCGAATACGTAAATCGCAACGCGATTACGTAAATCGCAATTCGAATACGTAAATCGCAATACGAATCTGTAAATCGCAACGAGAAATGGATTAGGCTATCTTATGAAACTCTAATGTTACGTGTTGCAAATAAATTGAATTTAGAGCCCCTAAGTGGATTTAGGCTATCTTATCAGAAAAATGGTAAAGTTTATTTGTTAACCGACAATGAAGATGTTGAACGATTCATTGCTTACATTAGTGTTTCAAGTGATGATGTTATATTGTATGTTGTTGAACCTAAAAGTAGTGAAGTTGGGTCAGTAGCTGGTAGTAATCAACTAAGTTTTTCAACCCCAGTTTATGGTGCTCAAAATTTAATGGTTCCACCACAATTTCATCACCAAGCAAATATTGTTTCACCACATTTACAATACCAAACACAATCTCAAAACCCACAACCTTTCCCTAATCCAAATTCCAATCAACTTTCAGCACCAAATTCCGGTTTTCGTATTGACCAGTTATACGATGATGAGCCAACAGAAAAAATTGTGAGTACTAGTCAGTATTCGAAATTTGATCTTGGTCAATACCCGGACTTTGATCTTGGTCAATACTCGGATTTTGATGATTTTTCAGAAGAAGAAACAGACTCTGCATGTAATGACTATCGCAACGAGAGAATCGCATTGCGATTCTCTCGTTACGATAGTCATTTCCGCGTTCAACATAATGCAGATTGAAATCAACAAATCAACTATTACATTTCAATCAATTAAACAAGCACAAATATTATGTACATATCAATTAAACAAATCAACATTTACAAATCATCTTTTACAAATCAATTAAACAATCAAAAAATAATAATGAAATCAACTTTTGCACTCATACATCCATTTCACGCAGCTCACTTCAGGATTAACCTGTAGAAACCAAACATTGAATCAACAACACTTTCTACACATCTAAAACCTACAAACATCAAATTATTGAATTCTAGCTACTTAACCAAACATTTTCAAACCAAAAAGAGTAAATATGTTTAAAAACACTTGCATTTGACTTACAAATTGTTTATGGACACTTTCATAACACGGATGCAAGTAGGCAGCGTCTCGCATATATCTCTCTAGCCATAAAATGCCGAAACCACAAGCCTACTGCACCTCTATCTCTATCGGTGGGAGGTAGAAAATGTGTACTTCCTGTCGTCAAACGCTCTAAGCACATGCATACGAGAGGACCACAATCCCCTCTGGCTTCCTTCATTTGTTGTGGCGCGGTCTCGTCTCTGATAACTGTAACATTGAACTTCTTTGGCTTCTTGTTTCCAGACTTAGTCCAATAATCAATTGCATCCAATAATTTAGCCAAATGAGAGCTCCATACCTTAATCATATCTCTCAAATCAGACAATGATATATAATTTATCATGCTGTCATATACTATTGTCTTTAGGGATGGGAGCTGAAGCTCAACGAGAAGCCAATGAGTACGGTCCAAAACAGGGATAAACACCTGCATCGAAATGTAATAATTCAAATTGCGCACTTATTTATGAACACCTTTAAAATATTTAAACAAATATACTAACCTTATCGACCTCCCACCATGCAGGATAAAGTTTAGCTTGTCCATTAGCCAACACATATGATTCCTGTCGTTGATTCTTCAAGTGAACTACGTGAAAAGACGTCGGCATAATTGTATATCGCGTTTTTTTAATATTTTTCTTCAATTTCCTTACAATTAGAAGACGTGTCACTCATGCATCAATATGTTGTTTTACAAAAAAAGACATATATTAGTGAATTACATAAATTTAAAAAAAATTAATCAAACTGAAATATAAGAAATATAAGACTTACCCCCCATCGAAATAGACGTTGTCTTCAACCCCTAATAATATACCCCACCAAGACTGTTCAATCAACAAATGCATATCAACGTTGAGTTTGTATATGTCAGCGTAACACCCTTGGCTCTGCTCATGTAGATAAAAATCAACTGCGGTCTTAGCCCAAAGGGTATTATCCAGAATTGTTCTGGTAGTTGTTTCCTCTCCACTTCATCTGTCGGAATGGTACTGGCCGGTAACTTATACGAAAGCCAATAGTCATCCATCATGTCCTGCATGTGAGGGGGCTTCTCAATAATTCGATATATTACGCCGTGTGAATCGGTCTCTAGAATGTTGGGAGGGACCTCTTCAACGATGATAGTGGCCTCTTGAACGGTGGGAGGGGACTCTTGAGGGATGATAGGGGCCTCTTGAACGATAGGGGAGGCCTCTTGAACGATGACAGGTGAGTCGGGCTTTTTCTTACGGATTCTTCGCACTATTGGGGTGAACGGAGACGTAATGGCACGTGCACACCGTCTGATGCGTGAACTCCGTCTTGCAAGAAAAACCCGACGTAGAGCATCCACTTTAGCGGGCCGCTAAAAATAAATTAATACATAAATCAGTAAATAAGCAGACATGATATTAAACAGTGAGAACAAAGACAAATATATTTCAAACTTGCACGGTATTTACCCAAGTCATTATTATATCATTGTTCACAAAATGCATCGGATAACATTCCAGAAGTAAGCACTTATATAAACATTTAAAATGATAACATATAGGTTTAGTGCAGGTTCAATGACAACATAAAGAGTAGTAGTTTATTATTGAAACTTAAATTTTCAACACTGTGAAGTTAGTATTTGTCTTTTGGTTGAAGTAATACAATTCATTCAAGTTTCAATTTGCAGAAGAAGAATATAATCTGAAACTTAAAATCGCAACGCGAAAATGACTATCGCAATGCGAAAATGACTATCGCAATGCGAATTTGACTATCGCAACGAGAGAATCACAATGCGAAATGAAAATCGCAATGCGATTATAGTTTCGCGTTGTGATTTTGGTTTCACGTTGCGATTTTGTCGTTGCGATTTTCATTTCGCGTTGCGATTCTCTCGTTGCGATTTTCATTTCTCGTTGCGATTCTCTTGTTACGATTCATTTCGCGTTGCGATAGTCATTTTTCACGTTGCGATTTTAAGTTTCGTGTTGCGAAAGTAAACTATTTCTTCTTCTGCAAATTGAAACTTGAATGGATTGCATTACTTCAACTAAAAGACAAAACAAAGACAAATACTAACTCTTCAGAGTATTAAAGAATACACAGTTTAGCATAATTGGCAGCAAACGAACAAATTTACTTTCAACCAAAAGACAAAACAAAGACAAATACTAACTTCACAGTGTTAAAGAATACACAGTTTAGCAGAATTGGCAGCAACCGAATAAATTTACTTCAACCAAAAGACAAAACAAAAGACATATACTAACTTCACAGTGTTAAAGAATAAACAGTTTAGCAGTATTGGTAGCAACCGAATAAATTTACTAAGCAATCTAAGTGAAATGGTTAATCTAAGTGAAATTACGAGTAAATTTATCATCAAGTTAAATATGGAAAATCTTAAACTTACCTCGTTGCGTAGAGTATGAACCTCATTCTGCAACGATACTACCATCTCACGTAGAGCGGCAACCTCACCACGTAAAGTAGACACCTCCACACGCCATGCACCATCGTTATCGCGTAGAGTACCGATCTCCTCACGCAAGGCATTGACCTCATCACGTAACTCCCTTGACTCATCCCGTGGAGGTGGAGGTGGAGAACATGGAGATAGAAGTCGTGGCATCTTTGCCGGTCGCCTATCATGAGGTGATGGTGGAGAAGAGGCTCGATGATGTGACGGGATAGGTGATGGCTCTCGTTATAGAGGTGTATAGTTGGGTCGATCAGGTGATGGCTCTGGGTGAGGTGATGGCTCTCGAAGTGGAGGAAGTGGAGGCTGCTCATCATTCGTGCAATCAAAAAAACACTGACTAGCTTGCCACCAATCAGTGGCAAGCTCAGCCTCCGTGGGTGTCAGTCTCTGTAATGGAGTGTTGGCCTCCTAAAAATATAAAAACTCAAACAAAGTTAAACGTCTACTATTAATAACTTGTTTATATATGATAGTATTTATGTTAACTTATATTATTTATTGTCGCATATGGTATTAAGTCTTCCCAATCCAACAGACGTTTCCTCTTACAGGAAATAGCCCTAGGAATATCATTTGAAGTTTTTAATGCATATGTCCACATGCTGGGGAAAGCCTCGAATATCCAAATCTACAAACAATATAATAACAAACATTAGTAATTGTTAAATAATTAATTATAATTTTGAAAACATTATATAGAAATTCTTACCTTAAAGGCCCAAACAAAGCCTGACAAAGTGTATTTCGACCCATCGCCATGCAAACTTTTACGGTCATCAAAGGCAGATGACAACTTAGTCCAGGTAGCATTTCATATATACGAACCCCACAGAAACAGATTCCGTGCATTTAGGTCCTCTACCAATAATATTAGCTCCTGAGGAATAGGTTGTCTGGCCTCTCTGCCTAAAAAGCCGGCATACAAAAGTACTAGAAGGCATACTCGGACAACATCGACGTCATTCATCCGAGTAAAACCATCTTTCTTATTAAACAATTTCTTCAGGTCGTCGACGTGTAAGTTCGGCTTCTCTATCGACTCATCAGAAAAAACCTGGGATAACCATGATGGACGGGTGATATGACGAGTGTACCAGCCTATATCATCGTGTCCGAATCGTAGACCAGTGATTAAGCAGAACTCCTTCCGCCCAAAACAAGTATACGCCGGTGGAAAATGAAACCATATCTCTTCCTCATCACGTTGTATACTGTATGGTAGATCGCTAGTCATGGTTTTAAGCCACAAATAGGTCAAATTAGCATCTCCACCCGGATGCTGTACTCTCAGCCATGGCCCGAAGCAGGTTTCCTCAAACAATTTTCTTTGTGCAGGTGAAAGCTTCGAAGCAATTGTAGTGGCTAGGCTAACTTTATTCCTTAATGTCAATGAAGCCGAAAAAAATTTCTACAAAAACAATAAACATACCAAGTTAGATATACCAAAAACAATAAACATAAAGAGTAGTAGTTTATTCTTGAAACTAAAATTTGCAACACTGTTTTATCTTTTGGTTGAAATGAAAATCGCAATGAGAGAATGACTATCGTAACGCGAAATGAAAATCGCAACGAGAGAATCGCAACGCGAAATGAAAATCGCAATGCGATTTTGGTTTCGCGTTGCGATTTTCATTTCGCGTTGCAATTTTCATTTCTCTCGTTGTGATAGTCATTTTCGTGTTGCAATTTTCATTTTCATGTTGCGATTTTAAGTTTAGAAACTATTCTTCTTCTGCAAATTGAAACTTTAATGGATTGCATTACTTCAACCAAAAGACAAAACAAAGACAAATACTAACTTCACAGGGTTAAAGACTAAACAGTTTAGCAGTATTAGCAGCAATCGAATGAATTTAATAAGAAATCTAAGTGAAATGGTTCATCTATTATTGAAATTACCAGTAAACTTATCATCAATTTCAATATGAAAAACCTAAAATAATTCAAAAATTTCAAAATAAAAATAATTAAAAAAACTAACCCTCGGAGGTTGATTTTTCATTTCTGAATGATTGTGAGGGATTTCTGACCGTGAATGGTTGTGAGGGATTTCGCCGGAGATGGGGAAGGAAATCTTCGGAGATGGGGATGGATTTCGCCGTAGAGAGTGAGAGATGGAGATGGGACTGAGTTGTGATTTTAGGTTTTAGGTTATGAGTTGCGATTACGGGATATACTGTGGACGGTTCAGTGTTCCGATAATTAATATCCGTGTTTGGAATTTGAAAATAAAATACGCGTAGCGATTCTAATGGCGCTTTAAAAATCGCGTTGCGATTTACGGATACGCGTTGCGATTTTACGTATTGTCGTTGCGATTTACGGATACGCATTGCGATTTACGTATTCTCGTTGCGATTTACAGATACGTGTTGCGATTTACGTATTCTCGTTGCGATTTACGGATACGCGTTGCGATTTTACGGATACTCGTTGCGATAGTCAGAATCGCGTTGCGATTTATATGTTCGCGTTGCGATTTTCATATCCGCGTTGCGATTCTGGAAAATCGCAATGCGAATTTGTACTATCGCATTGCGATTCTTCATAATCGCGTTGCGATTCTGGGAACTGATTTGCGATTCTGGAGATCGCGTTGCGATTTTTATTTCGCATTACGATTTTGTTAGTCATTTTGGCAAATCCAAAAAAAGTTGGTTAAAATCGTATATTATAAGGCATTTTTGGTCACTGAGGTTATTTTCTCTAATTTTTTTACACATCAACGTAAATAATTTAAATAATATAATTTTATATTATTACCTGAATCGCAAAACTATTTCGACATATGCTCCAGCTTTTCAATTTTACAAACATAAAACTTAATTGAAAATAATTAGTATAATATTTTTTCAAATAATGATAATAAACAATAAGTATAATTAAAAAATTATAACAAAATTACCTTATAACGAAAAATCGCACGAATTTCTAAATTAAATATGAGAAGATTGCCAGAATTATTACTTGTTGACGGAATTGTTGTATTAATTTATAAGTTGAGATGAGAGATGAGAGTAGATGTGAGAAACGTAACCAGAGGAGGGTATTTATAAACATATAAGTCGCGTTAAATATAATTTTGGTACGGCGTATAGCGCGGCTCCTGATCCGCGCTATACCCCTACGTGGCGTATAGCGCGGTGTAGGGCGCGCGCTATACCCCACGTGTAATCCAGTCAGCGTATAGCGCGGTACAAGGGGCGCTCTATACCCACGTGAAGCCAAATCAGCGTATAACGCGGTTCAGGGGGCGCGCTTTATTGCTACGGGTGTTAGATCGAAAAATATAATCTGACTGGTGTTAGATCGATAAATATACCGATCACCGGTGATTTTTCGAAAAAAATACCCATAAATATAATTTACCATCGATGAAAATAAAAAGTGAAATTGTGATTTTAATAGCCTATTTTTAAAAAATATATATATCATATATTATGTATCTAGACACTTAATTATTCCCACGATTTCAATTTGGTCATCTATTTTTAAAATTATACTTAATGTTATATTTTAGTTCTATTTTGTTACTTTACTATTAGAAATTTAATGGTGATGTTGGTGTATCACCATAAAGTAATGTCACACCATTGTTAAAAAAAATTGGTATGCCAATAGTTATATTTTTTAAAGGTCGGGAATCAAAATGAAATTAAAACATAAAATTTTGTATAGTTTTAAAAAGGGTAAACTACATAAATAGTGATTAAAGTATGAGTAAATTTTTATTTTCTCTACTGAGGTTTCGAAAGTAACAATTAATCACTAGTGTTATCGATTTATAATAAAATGGTCACTCCATGTTAATCGCCGTTACAAGTCACGGAAGGCTAATGTGCCTGTTTGGACGACTGATGTGGCACCGTTTGTAAAACTTGAAGTTAGATAGTATATTTTAACTACATATTTTTTATTTTAACAATAGTTTAACGATAAAATTAGGGGTGATCGTTTAAACGAGTCGAATTGTGTCGAGTCAAAAATTCGAGTTGACAAGTCATATTTTACAACTCGAAATTTATTTTAAATTTTTTCGAGTCGATTCGAGTTTATAAAATTCGAGTTGAGTCAAATTTTTGAGTTTATGTTTAAATTTAATTCTAAATATTTATAATATTATGATATTATTTGATTCCAATTTAAATATTTTTTATAAATATATATAATACATATATATTTTTTCATTTTTTCCATATGTGATATACATATATCATACAAAATTGAGAGACTCGATGTAAACTTGAAAATTAATTCGTTAATTATTAAAAAATTCAAGTTACTATTTGATTTATTCAAGTTGTATTTTACAAATTAATTTGAACTTGAATTTTTTTAGTTGGTTCGAATTGATGAATTCACAACTCGAAGTTAATTCAAGTCTAGTCGAAAAAATCAATTTTTCGAGTCGAGTTGAGTTTTTTTTACCTCAAAATAAAATAAATATTAATTTTTTTTGTTAACGTTATGTCATCAACTCGACGGAGATATTAGTGGAGTGATTATTCTATTACAAACCGATAATGTTATTTGTAACTTTTGAAATTTTAGTGGGGTAAAAAGAAAAATTGGTGACCATTCGTATAGTTTACCCAAAATAAAAACTCGGCTTCGCTAGGCGAGTCACAAATTCGTAGCTATCCGAATATCATTTTCATTTTCAGCTATAAATTTTGACTCCCGGACACAATTCCAAGATTGAGCGTACTGCGAACTTGTCTTCTCCCTTGAGCTCGTTTTCTCTCTGCAAAAAAGGAAAAAAATGGAAGGACTGAACTTGGATAAATGGGGTTATGAAGTTAAAACCTCTTCCGATTCTTGCATTTCCGCAATCAACGACTACTACCACCAGGTATTCACTCTTCTCCCTCTCTTTCAATACCCGTTTCTTTATTTTAATTCGTAAAATTCTTTGTTTCTGGTTCTAGTTCTGTAAAGTGTTCAACCACCACAGGTGCTTGCTTATGGGAGAAATAGGAAAGTGATCTTAGAAGCGGTTGTTCATGACAAACACTGTGTTTTAGCCAACATTTTGGCTGCCCATTTCCTCCATTCCTCTGACCCTTCAGAGGCTGATCCACTTGTAGAAGCTGCCAAGTCAAGAATTGTAATTTTCTATCATTAGTGTATATGGTTTTCCTTTAGAAAATACAAGGATGGTGGGATTTTTGGTAATTCTGGGTTTGTGTTGTTTTGAGCAGGAACAAGCCACTTCTTATGAGAAAGCCGTTTTCGAAGCTATCATTTATTTGATTTGTCATGGTAGAGATGATGATGTTGCCGTGGAGTTACACTCTAAGGTTAGTCTATTCACGGCATTTTTTTACTGGTTTGGAACATTTCCTCATCTCATTGAGATGAACCCTCCTCAGTTATTAGTGTTTTAGATAATTTAACAAGTTTTGTCATGTTGACTCGGAACTAAGATTTGCTGATCAAAATTTAATGGCTTAAACAGCAACAGATAATGTAAAATGACAAGAAGGGTAGTAGGTCACATAAGTTCAGAATTTTGCACCTTTCTTAATTGTGTTGAAAAAAAATAAGAACAGACCACTAATGTTCCCTCGTTTTCAAGTTGAGAAACTTGGCAGTTCTATGCAATGATATTGTGGCATGCTTCAAAATTATCATATTTATAAAAAAACTGCAATCTCAATTCGTTGATTCCTTCAATAGGCTTGTTTTTCCCCTTTCTTTCAAAATTTAATGTTGTATATGATTCTTGGACATTTGTTGCAGCTCTTGCGAGATTTTCCAAGGGATCTTGTTTCATTGAAGAGGGCACAACTACTGTGCTTTTATATGGGTCGGGCTGATTTGTCCTTAGGTCTTGTTCAGCAGGTTACTTCCTATCTGGTGAAGAAGTAATTTCTTGATTTTAAAGGGAGTGGGGAAATTGATAGCTTTGACCAATCAATTTTCCTGCATTTGTGGATCAACGTGTCTCACATATAGCATTATTTTTGCTTTGCGATATTTTGTTGCATTGACTCTTTATCTAGACAATTTTTATTTTTCCCATGAAAACTTTCGGTTTGTATTTACCTTTCTTCCTGTAATGGTTTGTACATTTTTTTTGATAGAAGGTTTGTACATTCAATAGGTTCTACCTCAAAATCAACAAGAAAATTACATATATGGCATGCTTGCATTCCCTTTATTAGAGCTTGGACGAATGGCAGATGCAGAGGATGCTGCAAAAAAGGGGTTTGAAATAAATAAGCAAGACTTTTGGTCACAACATGCTGTGAGTTCTGGTTGATGTGATATGCTTTGAAGACTATATGTTTTATTTCCTTCCCTTAATAAATTTGAGGTTATTGTTTCCAATCATATAATTTATATGATGAATGAACTTATATTTCACCAGATGCATTTGTAATTGGATGGTCAGCTGTATAATTGCTGAATCTACAATAAAACCCCACTGTTGTAATTTACTGAGGGCTGTTTTCACTAATTTGTACAACAAACCGGGGAAAGATTGGCCATTAATACATTCAATTCCTATTTATGATAATTGAGTGATTGCAATAAATATAATTATTATGTATACATGTACTATTGCTAGAAATATATCTTTGAGAAATTCTCATAGTTTTTGTTTTGTCGTGCAGTTGTGCCATGTTCTTCAGTATGAGTGTCGGTACAAAGAAGCAGTGCTGTTCATGGAAGAATGCTCAAAGTCATGGAGTTCTTGTTCATCATTCATGTATGCCTTTTAGGCCATTAAATGAGTTTACTTGTGTTTGTTGCCTTCTTTCAATATTAAAGTTTGAGAAATATCTAGGTTAACTCACAATTGGTGGCATGTGGCTCTTTGTTATTTGGAGGGTCATTCTCCAATTACAAAGGTCAGAGAAATTTATGATGATCGTATATGGAAGGAGTTGGAAAGAACTGATGCAGTTCCTGGGGAGGTATTTCTTCTTTCTACCATATTTTCATCATCATCCACAATTTCAAATTGCAAGTTTTGCTTGTTGGTACATTTAGGTGTACCTAAATGCTTTGGGTCTGTTGTTGCGGATTTATATACGGGGAAAACTGGATGTCTTTGAAGATCAGTTGCAAATTTTGGCAGCATCTCTAACAGATCAAGTGAGTTGACCCTCATGTACAAGTTTATTCTTATAATGTACTTTTCTAAGGACTAATATCTGTTTAGAATTGGAAATTCAAAGTTTTAATGCCTATCGATATACTTGAACACCCTTAATTTTCTGAATAGTGCCTCTACTTTCATATATGCCTCCTCCATGACATCACAAAAGAATTGTTGGCAATTCTATCAAACTACACACACACACACATGCACGTTGTGAATATGGAATAATGACATGCAGTGCTAAATTTTCATTACCTGTGTTTGGAGCTGCCTTTTGGATGAATCTGAAATGGCATCTAAGGGTCTGTTTGTTTCCCGTAATTGGAATTACGAAATTGGTTTTCCCCGAATTCACGTGTTTGTTTCACGTAATTCGTTTTCCGGAAAATATTTTCCCGTGTTTGTTTCACGTAATTCGTTTTCCGGAAAACGTTTTCCCGTGTTTGTTTCACGTAATTCGTTTTCCGGAATGTAATTCATTTTCCTAGTAACAGAATTTCCTTTGTGTTTTCTGTAAAATGACTTACGGATTCATTTTCCGTAAGTCATTTTCCGAACTTTTCACTTCAAAGCAAAAATACTCAAAATAATTTTATTTTATGAATTTAATATTAATAAAATATTTTAATATCATTTTCATCAAAATATTAATTATTAAAATATTTAAAATATATTTATTAATATTTATAATAATATAATATTATATTTTTAATATTATATAAAATAATCAATTATATTATAATAATATAAGATATTATATTTTATTTTAATAATATATAATAATTTTTTTATATATTTAATAATGAATAATATTATTTATATATTTCAATAATATTTTAGTAAAGATATTAAAATATACTAATTAATATTTTTAAAATATAATATAGTACTATTACTTTAATAAATAATTAATATAATTTATAAAATTTTATTTCACTAAAATATACCGAAAGAATGTTTAAATAACATCTTCCAAACATCATAAAACGTTTTCCAGATGTTTTCCAGAAATGTAATTCATTTTTCAGAAATGTAATTCATTTTACAGAAATGTAATTCATTTTCCAGAATTCAAATTCCAGTAATTCATTTTCCAGTAATTCAAATTCCAGTAATTCAAATTCCAGTAATTCATTTTCTGGAAAACCAATTACAGCTAAACAAACAGACCCTAAGTTTGTTGTAGTTTTTGAATTTTTAGTGTATATGGGCCTCATAGAACATTAATATATAATAGTGTAGATTATAGGCTATCTTCTTCCATAGTGTAGTTTATTTTAACAAGGTGATACTGTTGTTTGCACGACTTTATTGTTTGATGATATTTGTGTTCGCTGTATTGTTCAGGTGAACTGGTTTTTAGAGTGGCACCTTGATTTGTTGATATTATGGGCCTTGGCGTTTACTGAGGAACTTTCTAAAGCTGAAGATTTACTAAACGGCTTGAAGTTGAGGTTATAAAGACATTTCTCTCCTCTTTTTTTTCATTTTGGAATGTGGTTGCTTCATCGCCATTGTATTTCATTGTTGTAGACTTTCCAAGATGAGCAAGAAGAAGCAACAAATAATGCAAAGAGCGATGCTGGTTTGTTCTAATTTTCTTTCATCGATATAATGAGTTATTCATATACTGCATTTATATTTTTCTGATATTACTTTATAGGCTTCCTGCCTTTTTCTTTTCACTCTATAAGCCTTTTGTTCTTAGCTTGCGGAAGCTGTATATGAGTTTGGACGAGGTAATGAAAAGCAAGCACTAGAAATACTCGGTCCTGATTTCGATGCATATACTTATAAGGTACTACCATCAACTATCATTTTGTTTGTTGATTGTACTGTCGAATATTTGGTGTTGATTTGATTTTTGTATCGAATGTCAGATTATCGGAGCATCCGATGAACAGGTTGATGTATTTAATGAAATCTGGTACGTTATGTTGCTGAATACTGGACAAGCTACCAAAGGTAGGACACGTGATCTTGTTAAATGTTATACTAATTTTATTTATGGTGATTGGTTTTTAACTTTTTGAATTGCAGCCATTGAATCCATCGAGAAACAGATCAAGAAGAGGGATGGAGCTCCTTTCCTATGGCGTCTACTGGTAAGTATATACATATGTAACTCTATATCGACATACATTATCTGTTTAGTTTGCACCAATGTTACTCGGACTCGATTGCCGAGTGTTGAAACACAGGTACGATCATATGACATTTTGCATGTCAATTGTTCAGGAGAAAGGCTATATGCTAGGTGGCAGGCCGGAAGCCGCGACTATCGGCGAAAAGGCCAGAGTGTTGGAGACGGCATATTTCAACTAAGCCTATCTGTAGCCACATATATATATATATATAGCTTTAGTTTCAATAAGAGGTTGAATCAACGTTCACCACCACAAAGAAACTAGAATGCAACATCTTCCTGTAAACTTGCATATTCACATCGTGTAGCATGTAAAATGTATGCACCTTTGATTGGTCACAGTTTTTTCACTGAAGGACAAGCAAAGCAGCGCAGGGTTTTATGAACAACGAACAAATGGTGTATAAATGCATACAGGCCAATATAATTGTAATGTGCTCTTCAAATAAATTTTAGGCTTTATAGGCTGAATCTGCTCTGAGCTGTCCATGTTTTGGACTCGGTTGTTGAGTGAGTGGTAGCTCCAACATGTTGCGCAGATGAGAATGAAAACAAAAACTCGCGACTGCTTTGATCTGTTTCGATGAGATGAATTTTTATTTTATTTTATAAAATTTGGGTTTTAAGTTGATTTTTCTTTAAGCTTTGTCAAATCAGATTCAAGTTCCGAAAGAACTTATCAAGTTCGGAAATGATTATAAATATACTTATCTTTGGTCTCTGGTGTAATTGCACGACTTCGGTATAAATAAAACTTTTCAAGGGAAAGTTCATTCATATCAGTAAGGCTATAGCAATTCTTTGGTTTAAACACCAACGGTTGCAGCATGAATTCTTTGTGATTTGATCAAGCATATCGAATACAACGCCACTATTCGAATAGCCCTTTAAAATCAAGCATATCGAATACAACTCTACTATTCGAAATTTTGCTGCATGGTTCACGTATTAATATTCGATCACAGTGCAGGATCAATTTCTTCTGGAACTCGTGCCCTTCCTGAGTAGAGATACTGCATCTCATCGATCCATGTCTGCCAATTCTAAACCATTAGCCACCATCTAGAGATGAATTTTATGGCATGTTTAAGAGGAACAACGTTGAGTTACCTTGTGTCGAAAGGCGATCCTCATATTTGGAACATTTGTCTTCTGAATGTCATTCCCTTCTGGACCTCTTAGGAAGTATTTGTTGCCGAGCCAATGCAACTGCAACAAAATGATCAAAAAGGAAATGATAAAATGTGTTAACCGCGGGTTGATTCATTGATTTACAATTCAGCAGAGCTAGTGAGCAAGGATGGACAGAGGGGAGCAACCGGGGGCAATCACCCACTGAAATTTTCAAATTATCATATATTTAAGATATTTTCATTGTATTTTCTATTGATAATTTGTTTTCAACCCCCTATAATTTTTATAAGTTCGTCCTCTAATATTTTAGAAGTTTACCACCCCAGTAGAAAATCCTAGGTCCTTCCCTGCTAGCGGGGACCGAGACATTTGGAAAAAAAGACTATAAAAGGTCAGTCCATATCAGAAAACCCTCCTGCAGTGTGATTTTGGATTCTCTCCAGTAATAGCAAATAAGTTAACAAGACCATTTCAACTCCACATTATGAGTTTCCCAGAAAATGCATCAAAATGTTTTACCTTACCCAAGCAAACTTGAACTTTGGAGACTTATACTTGTATTTTTAGACGGGCATGCTGCATGCATTAAACACATCAACATGCATACTTACAGGTTATAGCCTTCCAATTGGCCAGTTTCCCTCTTAATATGGAAGGGAGTAAATGAGGATGCCCAAGGATCTTGAAGATACAACAATTGTACACACAAATTTCAGTCTATACATGTCATTTAAAAATAGGTAAGCAACGTTTTTTCTCTCTCCTTTATTTGCAATGTCAGTAAATTGCCTATTTTTGATCTGAAGAGTAACATGAATGTTAATCGTCAACAGAGAACACTCGAAAGGATTGTCTATGTAAAGAGAAAATGAGAAACTTTGCTTGGTACTTAACTTGAAAGAGTGAGTTCAGCAAGTTGTTTCCATACTTCAAAACAATATTTAAATGGCCATGAAAAGCTGAGAAAATAATAGTTATGAAATCTCTTACCTTTTACATATGCGAAAATCCAGACTGGTATACAGAATTTCTAGCAATCTCACATAAGTCACAAGCACTGAGCTTCCAAACCTGCAAATTACTAATTTAAGATGATGACAGAGACATCAAGCACATGTTTACGCACCTTACCACTTGTGTCTTTTCATGTACTAGTTATTTTAGAGAGTTTGTGTTGTGGGAGGAAACATTACTAAGTTGGATGCATGTTTACTTTTAACAGACTCAGAAATATTGGATACACGTGTGTGTATATATAGAGAGAGAGAAATTTCAAAAGAAAGCAGCAAACCTGTGCTGCTACACTGTACTCTTCCACAAGAGCTTCCTTTGTCAAATGAATTTGCAAAGGGTCATCAGATGAAAGTGAAACATTAAGCCCACGCTGAAAGAAGGAAGGAAATGGGTTGCGATGATAGTCCAGGAAAAGGGAATTATTGCTCAGAGGAGACATAGCCAATCCAATCTGATAAAAGAACAGCAAGGTGATCAACAACAGTAATTGAATCAATTGTCTTGTTTCAAAGGAGAAGTTCATTCCAAAAGTCACTCATAAACAGTTTGGGCTTAATAATACAAGGACTGGAGATGCAGACTCTGCACATTCTGACATATGGGAACAAGATCTACAGATCCCTTCTGATTGGTTATGGTATACGTCCACAATACAACTACAAGAAAGAAACTTGTTTATGGGAAATCCTGCAAACCAGCCTGAGCAAGGTAATACAAGTACTGCAAAACTGGAGATTTCCGGAGATTAATCCCATGGGATATATTGTTGCACAGAAGGAAAGCAGCAGCTAAATGGTCAATGTCACCAGCCTGCATAAATTTGCAAATGTCAGAAGCAATTTAAAGAACTGAAGAAAATTTGAGACGGAGAGAAATCGACTTTAACCTCCCCACAGTGAGGTCGAAGTTTTATCGTTTGCATTCCTTTTGACTCACGAAGCTGAAAAGGGGAAAAGTAAAAATATGAAATGTTTCAACATAGCATCTATGACAAAAATAAAAACAATCTTCCTTGTGTAAAAAGCCCAATTGATGTATAAAAGGCAATGTTGGTATGTAACATAGCTATGACGGGATTAGAAAATTAGACGAACCTTGTTGAGCGTATACAAGTTAGCATAAAAGTAGTAGGCGTAATAAGAATATGCAGGATTAAATTCATTCGTCCATTCAGCAGGAGTTGGCATGTGCTTTGTACGACGTCTCTCTGGTTTATTCTCATCATCAACTAAATCAAAGCCAACCACCTGTAAACAGAAGCATATTTTTTTTATAAGAATGAGAGGCCTCATTAAAACACCCTTACATAACTGTCCGTTCCCCTAAAGGAGAACAAACAATCAGCGGAAAGAGGAAGAGTGCCTCAAATTTTATTAAAAAAGGTTTTAGATACCCATCATTAGTTCATTACAACCTGAATAAAGCACACACCCCATTACAACGAAAACATCCCTCTTTCATCTAACCCTAGCCTTCCCTCACCCAATTCCTTTTTAGCCAATTCGTCGGCTTCCCAATTGGCACTTCTTAAAATCAAACGTCATATAACGTTATTTGATACAACCATGGAACTAATCTCCCTAACTATAGAAACATAACATGAAGGACAAGAAGAGAAGTCCCTGATCCACTCTAAAGCAACCGAGCAATCACTTCCATAATAAGACGACCCGTCGAACCCCAATCCCACTCAACAAAGAGTTTCAAACCTGCTCTGATCGCCTTCAGTTCAGCTAAGATTGGATGACCTGGACCCACTGATTCAGAAAAGAACAGCAAGGAGCGACGATTCGAATCCCTTAATAATCCTCCAATGCCCCCCTTTCTCCAATCGCTGATTACTGCTCCATCTACATTAACCTTGAGAAAGCTCCCTCTGAGTTGCCACCTGTCTTCCCTTCCTCAAGCCACGAAGAAACTTTATTTAAAGACTCTTCCAGCGACTGTTCGGTACCCTCATCAAACCATTCCAGTCAATCGCCGTCTTGGTCCTCCGGTGACACCTCCTCTTCCCAATAAATCCTCAGAACTGACTAGATCCAAATCGACCTCTGGTTTCACTAAAGTTGATCCAATCTTCACCCCAATCTTGTACGACCTCCCATCTGCAAGAACAGTAACCAAACTTGGAACATCAAAAGGACCAACAATTCTCAATATCAGCTTTGCAACCGACAAATCCTTCCTCCCCAAAGTCTCGTCATGAATGCCAACCAGTAAACCCCACCGACTTGCCAGAGTTGTGAAGAAGGCTTCATGCCGGCAGTTTAAAGGAACTCCACTTAGCTCAACAAAACAATACGTCATTGGAACACCAATCTCCATCACCAACCGATCAATCCAATCAAACCAGTAAGACAATTCATCTTTCTTGTTCAGCCAAGCCTCCATCAAGCACTCCTCCGAAGAGAAGGTTATATTATGCAAGAATTCCACGCATAGCCCCAACTAACTAGTTTGACATCTATTCCATCACTGGATAAAGTTTTCTGAACCACATCCAACTCTAAATCTGCCTTCATAATTCCAGTTAAAACAAGCTTCATCCATTCCTTCTCTTTAGCCGGTATGAACACATTCACCAGCTTTTCCTCCCCAGCTTTAACTTTTTGATTTGCCAATGCTTCTTTGTATGACCTTCCATCGTTGAACTTGTTGAAAAACTCCCTTTTGGAGTCTGCGTTTTTGTTCTGCACGTTCAAGTTATTCCCTGACATTTCAGCTGCCATCCCACGATTTGCTCCTGAATCCTTCCTTTTCGCAAACTTTGCTACACCATCTGATACCCTTTTCTGATCTATCATCGTATTGTTTACCTTCGCTATGGCATTAGCCACGTCTTTCTTACAACCAAAATGAACAAAGGCGAAATTAGAATCCTTGTACTTCGGCCTTCTGTTGACTAAAGGAATGAAAACCTTCACAACATCACCATGACGCTTGAATAATTCCCAAATAACTCTTCTAGAGACTCTCCTGCTGAGATTATCCACGACAACCACCCATTCTGATCCACTAGAAGGTGAAAAGACTAGGACTTTTTGCTCCAGTGGGGAGCGAAGCGACTCTAGACATTTTTCACTAAATCCTATGATGCCTTTTGTAATAGACTTATTAAACAGAAGCATATTAGCATGCAAGTCTCTTCAATAAGAAGTATTTTTAACTGTATTATCAGTTTGTCAAATAACAATGAAATCTCTTATTAGTGCACATTTTCTTCATTGAACATAAAACTCACCATCTTTAGGAACACATGCAATTGAGGATGAGAGTTTGGATCAACTGTAACTTAAAATAGTGGAATGAAAACATTGTCCAGAATATTCTGAAAAGATTTTACAATTCCCATTTGCTTGTACATATTATACAATCGTGGTAGCTGCAAGATAAATCAAAATCAAGTGAAGAAAGTTAACTTTGTCTTAAGAAAATATATGAGAGAGGGACTGGGGGAGAGAGAGAATCAGGAGTTATGTAGAAAGATGATGCTTGATATGTACATGATGCCCCAAAATCTTATCCTAAATTTCGATATCCTAAATGTTCATTAGATTGTCCATGCTTTGAAATACTTTTCATTAGAGGGGATTCAAGAAACATAGAGACAATTCTTAAATAAACATGTCCAAACAAGATATGATCATTTTGATGCATTAACAAGAAAGGATCCAGGAAAAGCAGTAGGTAAGACTTAAAGGAACATTTTAAAACGGAGATGTAAAAGGGGGGAAAACTTAATGCAATACTAGATAGTGGGAGAATGTACTAGTACGGAGAGAAATAATAGCATTATACCTGGATTAACCAAACGGTAGTGTCACCATAAATTTCATTGTTAATAAACCAACTAGCCAACTGGTCCCATTCACTCTGTTTCCTTCCATATATGGACACTCTGTACTCTGACATCTAGAAAAGATATAATATATTACTCAGTGCTGTCAGATGAGAAAGGAGAACTATAGGTCCTGGAATCCTTTCATTGCATAAGGAACAAGGTGTCAAACACACACACATACAGACTTTTGCCTAAATGGAGTGAGGCACAACATATATGTATGTGTTGTTTACATATATATGGTATGTATTATAAGCTTAAAATATATAATTGAGATAATAAACTATAAAAAGGTGGTCCTGTTTGAACAGCGGAAAAAATGCCAAATTTTCTCTCTTGTCAACCATATGCATATCTCCGTAAGATACCATGTTTGGTGTTGAATGCTCAAATATTGAAAAGTTAAGATGTCATCCTCTTTTTTGAAATTAAGAAAGAATAAGTAGAAACTAAAGAGAACTTCAACTAGACAGACTTTTTGAGCCCACACACCAGGAATGTGCCTCGACTGAAAAGGTCAAAGTCCATTTAATGCCTGGTGCTATGGCAAAAAAGCTTAAGCATGTGCCATAAAACACTTGTATTACTTAGATAAAGCTGATGGAGGATAAAATACTAAAAGAGCCCAAGTTTGTCGCTTTTCTAAAGTAAGCTCATATGCTTTTATTGTGCCCAAACAAGCTCTTACCCTTTAATCTGTACCTAAAGGAATTGTTTCTGACAGAAAGTTTACTTTTGTTATGATCAAAGCTAGATGGCCAAAATGGATTCTGGCAAAGGTATCAGTGGTGAGATTTGGGGTGGCATTGACTGTAACAGAGGTCAACCTTTTGTTGAATATAAAAGGTTATTTGGATACAATAAAAGCAGAGGCTTAGTTATGAAAAATGGGATACTTCATGGGAATCTAGTATTTTACCCCTTAGTGGGAATATGGCCATCAAGAAAAGGTACTCAAAACTTTAAGGTCAATCAATAGAAACAACGAAAACAATTCTTAGGCTACAGAAAAATAGTTTAGACATAAAATAAAGCTTTAAGGTTGAGTTTTGCCCAGCATCGGCATTGGGTATTACAAAGTGAACTCTCATTGCATAAAAATATCAAAGTTTCAGATCTATCATAATTTGAAAATACTAACTGAACCTAGGGCCAAGACTGATGAATGCCTAAACAAAAGACACAAGATTAAACCAAGGACGTAAACTTAAAATAGCATGCAAATATTTTAGAGAGAGAGGGTTTCATAAATGCTTTGGAATTTGGAAGATTAAAGATATATCTTTTAGAGTATGAATTATTAATATTTTTATTTTGGACAAGGTGAAATGGAGGGTGCACAAGCAATGGTTGAATCAGGGTACTATGACTTCACTGGCTTTATTTATCTATAAACATCAACCTGATATTTGCTTGTTTCAAGGTCTGATAGCACTTGCTTTGTAACTTCTGCCAGAAAACGTCCTGTACAATAAGCGCCACTTAATTTGTCAATGCTTGCACAAATTTATATTAATAGAGTCATGACAATATCCAAAAGAAGTCACAACAATTCTAGCAAACATATATTACCAATAAAATAAAGCTATGACCATGATGTCAATGTGAATTCAAAATACAAAGTGGGAAATCAAATGGAGAAAATTATCAAAACTGAGTGATTATATCGGTTACCAGTAAGAAAAAGATGAAAGCTATCTGAACAAACATAATGAAAATCTAAAAGCTTGAGTTGTGATGGTGTAGTTGTCAAACCTTGTATAAGATTGTCCTGCTTTAAAAATATCTCTCTGAGCCTGCTTTGCCCACAAGGATTGTATTTAAGATTGAATTTGTCAAATCGATGAAAGGTACTCTTATCAGCATGAACATCCAACAAATCAACATTGAGATCATATCTGAAATACAAGACACATGAAACATTAGTTGAATAAAGCAAAGCAAATTTATGAAACATAGAAGAGAATAGAACCAAAGTTTTGCCTACCCAGACAACTCCAAACTCTCAAAAACCTCTTTCAACGTCGTATATTTTCCATCCCTAAATATAACAACCTGCACCAGATTCATTTAGGATTGTGTTGATTATGATCCATATTTTTATATGCTTTCAAAATATAATTAAAAAATAAAAAGGAATTCAAAACAACCTCATCAGGTTATTTTTTTAGTTTTGATTTGATGAAGCTAAGCAGATGTTTCTGGTTCATGCAAGCAGAATGATAAACATGTGTATCAACCTTCCGGATATTGTAGAAATCCCTGTGCGGTGCACTCTTCTGAGCCAAAAACTCCCTATCTGCGTTTACCAACAGATGAAGGCGGAACTTCTGCGCAGCATTCAGTTGTTAGTTACAGAAACAACCCAAAGAGGAAAAATATATTTAGAGGTAAAAAACACCACCTCTTCAAGAAACCTTAGCCGGTGATGGCAAGCAGAGCGAACATTTCCGGCCGACAGGACTTTTAGGAGGTGATGCATATCAGTGAAAAATGTTGTTGAGCTCGCAACAGGGAAAAGCTCAACAGTGTCTGAAAATAGATAGACATGTTTACTGTTCTAGGGTTCATCAAAGAAAATAACTGTAGTATTGTAAACACATGGATCAAGCATAACACTATATAGTTTATGTAAATTTTGCATGGTTTCCAATAGATTACATGTTAGGGACCAGCCATGTTATACAGTGTCACACTAAAAGAACTCCTGCTGTTTTACCCACACACTAAAAACTCTATTCTCCTAGGAGATTTAAGATTTCGGCACAAAATTGATTCAACATAACCTTGTCAAGTTCAAGAAAAAGATTTAATTGAACAAATTGGATTCATTGTTGACACAATAATATAGTACACACAAATGGCGCATACCACACTCACTTGCATAAACATGTATAACTCCATCTTCCATCCTAAAGTGATGCTGCATGAAAAGGGGAAAAACAGCTTAAACTACAAAAAAGATACTTTTATGATATCACTGTTGCTTCAATGAGTGCAACAGAAAATGTTGTAATATTGTTTCCAACCAATATCTAAAAAAAATGAAACACACCGCTGATTTTTCAACAGGCTCAAAATGAAATGAATCACATTTCGCCTTTGGAGTGCCAGGTTCCGTCACAGGTTCCTTTGTCCATGGAGCAATCGCCTCCCTGTAAACATAATTGTCTCGCAACTCCAAGCACTCCCGTACCATCTTCCTTACTTCCTCCTCTTCTACATTTGTTGAATCTGAATAGAGATTGTTAAAGGCAGAACATGATCAATTTTGAAGTGTTCGTACTCGGGCACATTCAGTAAGCAAAGACTAATTCTGACTTGTCAAGTCAATCTTACTTGATCAATATTAATAGAGGTAACATGTGTTAATACAGGTCCAAGACAGCAGTTCACAAATTAAAGCAATGGAAAAATAAAATTAGCTAAATATGAAAGCAAAGTTACAATAACGATAAATAGTGAAATCATTATATTTAGAGACTATCATACCATGCAATGTGCTTCTAGGAGGCAAACTAGTTTTTGCAAAAACATGATCATTCTCAAATATGCCAACTGAAGCTGAATCCACGTTTTCCTTTCCAGCAATATTAACACAAGATTTTTCTTCATTCCCGGTAGGTTTATAAGTGTCGTCATGAACACGATTCACATCATCACCTCTAATCGGAACAGAATATGAATTTTGAATTTTTGTAGCAACATCCTGTACATTCACCAATAACAGATGAATAAAAGATCCATATCTTTTCATTAATTATTAGTAATTAACAATTCACCATAGTTTCTCTTCAAATGATAAATCATTAAACCTAATACAAAGCAAACCTATACGCTCAAAAACAAGTCTACTAAAACTACTTTTGCTTAACATCAATATTCTTGCTGGAAAAAATAATCTCATCCTCATCTGCAGCTTCTGTCCCTTCATCATCAGAATCCCCAACAATATTGCCACCAGGAGACCTTGGAGTCATTAGCCGACCATAGGTAGCCAACCTTGTAGTGGAACATCCATGACTGAAAGTTTTACTCTCCTGCACAAAAATAAATAAATAATGATAATAAAAAAGGAAGAACATAGCATATTTAATGTAAGAAACATTGCAGCAGCATTTAGTTTCCAAATACCTTACTTATTAGTTAAGAACCGGAACCATTTCCCCAAAATTCTCAATACACATCAAGCCAAGAGCTGATTCCTAAAGGTACATTTGGCAGTTACTTTACAATTTACATTTTGCTCTCGGAAAAAAGAAGAAAAAGACTTTTGGATGCAAAAGAAAATTAATTCTTTAAAGAATTATAAATAATAATAACAAGATGCATCATTAATCTAAAAAGAGAAGGAAGTCGTATTAGAACTGATAGTCTAATTTTATTTGTTTATTCATTTCTAATCAAATTTTATGATTTTCATTATTCAACTCTCAGCAACAGTTTTAGGAAAGTCATGTTCACAACATTAACTCCAACTCCAATTTCTACTTCCCTAACACTGTTAGAAAACTATTCAAACTCCTTTCAGTAATGTGGCATTTAACTATGCCATATAATCAATAACTATCCGCATTTCATCAAAATTTGCTTAGGAGTCTAACAGGACCATCCTAAAACGCTGTTTGCACTGCTATGATACCAACGTGGAAAAATAAAGACAAGAAATGAACAGCAATTATAAGCCTAATATAAAGAAACTACCTCTCCCAGACGTTTCAAGAGGAGGAAGACCCGAAGGAATAAAGTTAAGGTTCTCAAGCGACGAAGCGGAGCAATTCTGAACTCTTTCCCTCACCGCCTGATCAAACTTAGCATCCTCCTCGAACCACTCATTACGCAAAGCCACGTTAGACATCGAGCTGGAAATGCGGGAACTCATCGACGCCTCCGTCTTCTTATCAAAAGACTTAGCCGCACTCACTCCATGTTTCCGGCAATGATCCACTTCTTCCACTTCCGATACTGTATCATCCCTTCCGTGATCCACCACCTCCTCCTCCTCTTCCTCATCGGAAACGAGACGACTCCGAGGCCGCCTTCCCCTCAGAGGATAGTCACGGCGGATCTCGATGAGCCGATCGATGAGGATCTCGATGAGCCGATCGATGACGTGGTCGACATTGCGTCTGTGGATAAAGAAAGCGGATACATCCATTAACGAAGTGTAACCCCTAGATCCGGACTATATGTTTCGACTAAATTTAACAGATTACATTAAAGATTCTTAAAAAAATCATTTCCCAAAAACGTTATTCGTTAATATAAATCATATTACAAATGACATTTATAAAAGTATAATAAATAACAATAAAATCCAACTCTTGTATAAAACTAAAAGCAACTCGGTAAAATAAAATGATAAATACTTCAAAAAATAAGGCACATGTCATCATAATTAAAAGCAGTTATGAAGACAGAATATTATAACAAAATGATCTGAACCAAATATACCAATCCTCCAAGTACCTAATACGGAGCGTCTATCTGAGAGTATCTGAAGGGGGTAAAACAGTTTGAAAAGTGAGCTAGAGACTTAGTGTGTCCCAACAATGCAGAATTAAAAACATACAATTATGATTTTTAAAACCAATACAGATCATAGTAATTAAAACATCATAGGAGTTTTTAATTTAAAAACTCTGCATCGTCCTCCAACCGAACGCCATGTGCATTTCCCCATAACTGCACAACCTAAGGGAGTACCTTGGGGTCTGCAAGCCTTCCCAAGACAATTCTCGGGGCCATAAAGGCTTACCCAAGAAAATCTCAGGGCCACAGAGCCTACCCAAGAGTCACCTAGATCTATAAGGAATTATCAGTCGGTGTTGAACCTATTCGATGAATTACCAACATCGACTGAACCTGCCAGAGTCTTCATACCAGAACCCAGAGTATCCCAAAGAAAACATTTTTTCAGACGGTAACCAGTAGTAACAGTAATTCAGAGTTCAGACAGATCATCAATTCAGTAAACTAGTATCCATAAATCATAAATCTGGCAATCATGCTTTACATTTCAGTAAATCCGGAATTAGGTAAATCATATTGTAGTCAAATCAGATCAAACATTGTATTTCAAATCAGAGAAAACAATCATGTGCATATGAGATTTTAAACAGATATTTAAAACATTTATACTGCACATAAGGAACACACCTCGATAATAGGGTAAGTCCGGAAGATTTATCGAGTATCAGCTTCACTAGGCTCTTCGAATGAACAGGAACCTAAGCCATATCAGAATAATATCATATTCAGAATATTATTCTAAACATAATAACTAACAGGGTTACAGAACTATACGAGTATTCACGGCCTCTCGTAGACGAGCAGATCGGAAGGAACCGGGTCGAGCAGTGAAACAATCAAGAGATCCCTGAGTACCTTTAAACATATCATAACAATAATTAGTCATTGACCATTCAGTTCAATTAACTGAATTAAAACAATTAAATAAATAAGCATTTTTCGGGTTTACGGGTCAATTCGGAGGCTTTCGGGTTTGAATTTAGAAAAACGGACTTTGGAATCGAACTCATGACGTCGAAAACATAAAATATGACTTTTCAAAAAAATTGACTTTTTAGTCAATGTCAACGGGTTTGACTGACAATTTTAAGGCTTTCAGTTTCAAATTTGGCAAAATGGACTTCAGATTCGGACTCAGGACGTCAAAAAAATATAAAATATGGCTTTTCAAAAAATTTGACTTTTTGATTAATGTCAAAGTCAACGGGTTTGACTTGGTCAAAAGTCAACGGGTCGGGCAGTCTGGTCGGATCGGGTCAAACGGGTCAAAATTGTTTTCCCCCATTTACGAAACTTCCCCACACGCAAGGGCGGCGCGTGGGGGTGCATGAACAGTCCTATAGAGTCCGAAAATTTCTTAAAAATATTTTAAGCGATTTTGAGACACTTACCAAACTCGGTTCAAAATTTTGAACGACAGAGAGCTCAATTTCAACACGTCAGAAACTTTGAGTTCCTCATCGACGGACTCGGAACGACATAAAGAACACTATAATGTGGGAGGTGTCGAAAACGGAGCAACGATCGACGATGAATTGACAATTTTCACGATGGTTGTGTTAAAAAAAAGTCAAAACTTTGAATCGAAATTCACGACGTTAGACAATGTTTCGCTACGATCGATTTACGGGGTTTTGTTCACCAGTTGACAACGAACACGATAGTGATTTCGAATCGACGATCGATGGTCGAACGTCATCATAATCGATTTTGGAAGTAGGGGTGCGGGAAAGGAAATATTTGTGAATTTTGATTTATGTTTTAGCAAACAGAAACCAATTCACGCTTAAATGGAGGAGTGTCTGCCGACACTCAATGGTTAAATTCAGGATTAGGTCCCTAAATTTCCTTCAACTTCAAAAATAACCTATAAGTTTTGAAAAGTTTTAATTTGACTCTCAAATTTCACCTAATTAATTAAATTATAATTTTTTTCGGGTTGTTACACAAAGCTCCCACTAACGCCGCCATCGCCAGGTGCAACAAAGGAATGGGCGTTGACGAGTCCATCAATATCTCCTTCCTTTAAAATAGAGCAAGTGTGGAACCCTAATTTATTGTTTTTTTTCAGAGAAGTATCATTTGTTGAGATGAGTGTGTTTGGGATTTTTTTAGTGCAGTGTCTGTTAGGCTCCAGATAGAGGAGACGTGTTGCCCGAGGGTGATCGAGGAGAGGACTACAAAAAGGGGGGAATCGCAAGCCGATTGGCTGGACTCGCTGGGGTATACGTGGACTACGGATGATGACGTTTTCCATTGTGGTTCGATATCTTGTCGCCATCTTCTTCATGTCATGTGTTTCCTTTCATTTTTCAGCGGACTACGGGTGGGTTAGGGCCTACACATCCATACGGTTTTCAATCTAGAAGAAGTATACTTCAGTTTGTTACTCATAGCTTTCATCTTTATTACTTGACATTCTCATCATTTTTACGAAGAACAATTACTATTGATAAAAGATTATTCCTAAGAATATGAGAATGTATTTGTCGGAACCGTCTTTCGGGTGGGCTCGGAATTGGGCTTCGACTTGGATTAAACGAATTGGAGTCGCCACCGATCATTTATTTTACGAATAAAATGGGTTGATCGGATACCTTATTTCTTACATGATCTGCGTCTTACCAGTGATATGTCGGATTTGGGAGTCGGTTACAGTCAAGGAAGGGTTAGTACCCTTGAACTGCCTTTTCGGTACTACGTAGTTTCCAGTTGTCCTTAATTAAGAAAGTTGTAAGTTTAAATTAAAAGGTAAAATAACAACCCAAATTACTTACCTTTGATTTATTGGAAATGTACTCCTTAAAAGTCAAAAGACGTGTTAGGGAAAAAAAGGCAATAAATAATAAAAAAAGTAAAAAAAGAATGAAATAAAAATAATAATAAGAAATAAAGAAAACCAAAATAAGGCAAAGATAAAAAATGAATAAGATAAACAAAAGAAGTAAAATGAAGAAAAATAATAATAATATATACATGGCAAACAACTAAACAAAAAAAGAAGAAGATAATACAAATAACAAAGTAAAATATAAGAAGGAAATAAAAATAAAAAAGGGTAAAAATATATATAATATATATATATATATATATATATATATATATATATATATATAAACAAAGAAATAAAAATAAGACATATACACAATGAAAAAAGTGAACACAATAAAAAAATGAAATGAATAAAATAAATAAACAATATACATATAATGATGATAATAAAAAGAAAAAAATGGAAATAATATATACATATGCGAAATAACAGAAAAAGTAATATATATAGATAAGAGAATGAAAAATTAAAAAATAGTAATAATAATTAATATGAAAAAAGGAAAAAATAAAAATAAAAATAAATAACCACATATATTAAAGAAGAAATACGCATATATTATAAACTATAATATAAAAACTAGAAAAATTAAAAATAAATAAATAAATAAATAAAAATGAATAAATAAATTAAACTGCTCAAGGATTAAATCGAAGGAACCATAAACAAGAGGTCAAATTTCAAAGTAATTTTAAGGTGTGAATTCAATTTGGGGGTCAAAATAGTTCTTTGAAATCAACGAGGGACTAAAAGGGTAGTTTACCCTATTTTAAAGAAAAACACGTGGGTTCTGTCGTGTATCTGGGTCGGGTGGTATGATGGATACTATAAAAACCAAATTTATTAAAACAACCCCGTTTTTTCATTTCAAGCCATGAGCCCCCTCCTTTTTATATTCTCTCTCGTCTATTCTTCATAAATGAAGAACAGGGTCGTGGTTCTTCAAGAATCCAGAAAACACAACCCTATGTCGTCTCGCCGTCGCCGTTTCAACTGCGGCAAAACTCGATTTTTTTTTGTTTTTCAAAGCCTTTTCCTCTATTTTTCGAAAATCAAAAGATTTTTTTTGAAGATAGGCATACGGGGTATATAGATCTAAGAAGACATCTAGAAAAAGAGCACCCCTGTTCATCGGCCAAACCTTTTTTTTTGGGGGTTTTTAAGCAAAAAGCGTGAGTTTCAACGCATGCAAGTGAAGAAAAACATGAAAGGTAAATGCTTTCACCTTTTATTGCTTCTTGAATCGTTTACAAGACTTCGGATTTCGACTATACTGCTCGTAATATTTGCGTATTTTCTCTCGATATTTCGTAGTAAAAAACCCGCCCTTGTGCTAGATTTACATCCAATATTTATAACAGAAAAAAATCTATTTTTAATCTCAAATCTAGAGTCCTAATCGCGTTGGTCTTCTGTTGCTTGGTTGTGGATGAGTCCTAGGTACCCACGTTGTTGATGGTGTTTGTTGAAACGCGAGGAATGGCTGTAGAAAACAGGGTTGCGTTGACCGAACGTCTGTTGAGGGGAGATACGGCGCTTGGAGATGTGGGATGGGGTTAGGTTACAAAACCCTAACCAGTTTGGACTGGTTCACGGGTCTGCGTGGGTCACCAGATGGGCTTGTTTGTTTGGCCTTGTAATCTGGTTTTGGACATATAACATATAAATCAATTCCGGTCAGAAAAAGTGTGTCAACAGTAATTTCAGTAAAAAATATTCCTAGTAACATGAAAATATAATTCTAAAATGATTATTATCTTTGATAATGATTTTTTTTGAACCAAACATTCCTT